ATCCCCTCCAAGGTCTAGGACTTTGGGTAAGAATCACAGAAGGGCACAGCCTACTCGCCAAGCAAGGTCACCCACAGCCTGAGTCCCTCCGTTTCCTGTTCGGTTATAAAAAAGCTGAGAAAAAGCAGGGCTCAGACCTTGAACTGCAGCCCCAGGAAGGCAGACAATGCTCTGATAAGGAGGTAAGGGAGTCAGGAGAACTCACCTAAGATAGATGCTCAGGACCAAGGCCTGGGAAAGGCCATGTCTATGAAGCACGAACAGGAGAGGAAAAAACAGAGATGTGGACTGTCTCCAAACAAGCTGCAATTAGAAAACAACCTCCACAAAGAAATATACAAACAAGCACAGCAAAATATTCTATTCTGGGGAAACAAACATAACGCAAGGTGTAAATCAACTATACTTCTATAAAATTTAAGATAGTAAATAAAAAGCAAACGTATGAAAAAAATGAGATGCAAAATAAAGTTGGAAATTACTTGTATTAAAAAAAAAACCAAGAGTTGCAGAGACTCCATTTGGACTTCTTGAATTCACGGAATATTTTTTAAAGTTTTTTTCTTTTGAATTGCTTCTTAAAATATTTATTTGGCTGTACTGGGTCTTAGTTGTGGCATACGGGATCTTAATTCCCTGACTAGGTATGGAATGGGGCCCCCTGCATTGGCAGCACAAGTCTTAGCTACTGGACCAAGGGAGTCCCTTGAATTCACAGAATTTAATAAACACTTGAATTCTAAAAAACAGCTCAATGAAATTGAAAATAGAATGAGATTTTTTAAAATTTACGTCAGAGCTAAGAAAAAAATTGGTGCCCAAAACACCAATACAAATTGAAAATAAGTTAGCCACAGAAGATTAATTTTTTCAAATGATGGGAGGAAAAAAAACACCTAAATATGCAATTGGAAATGACACACCATATTCTAGGAGAATAAAAAAAAATTGTGAAAAATCAAGGACTTCCCTGGCAGCCCAATGGTTAAGACTCCATGTTCCCAATGCAGGGGATTTGATCTGTAGTTAGGGAACTGGATCCCACATGCCACAACTAAGAGTTCACACGCCGAAACTAAAAAGGAAAAAAGATACCACGTGCTGCAACTAACATCTGAAGCAATAAATAAATAATTTTTTTAAAAAAAGAAAAATTAACTCTAGGACTTCTTAGCAAAATTACTGAATATTATCAATAGGATTGAGGCAGGATCTCCAGTATTTAATAGAAAGAATAGTCCCTTTCAAGAGAAAAGATAATACTGGTCTCAGAACACTCCAATGGAGCCATGGATATGTTATACACCTTGTCAGCATGCAAATAACTCTTTTAAAGAAGAATCCAGAGACAGAAGGAAGTTTGAGAATTTCCCCACCTTGATGAGGAGTTAACACATACTGAAAGTGTGAAAGTGTTAGTTGCTCAGTCGTGTCCAACTCTTTGCAACCCTATGGACTGTAGCCTGCCAGGTTCCTCTCTCCATGGGATTCTCCAGGCAGGAATATTGGAGTGGGTTGCCATTTTCTTCTCCAGGGGATCTTCCTGACCGGGGGATCAAACCCAGGTCTTCTGCACTGCAGGCAGATTCTTTACCATCTTAGCCACCAGGGAAGAGGTTTAACAATGTAAAGGAAACCACCAGAAGTACTAAAAACTACAGTCTGATCACCAGAAACCAGGGAGGTAGAAGGAGGACTATTATGTTTCCATGTTTCATAGTTGATAGTCAAAAATGCCATGTGACTGTATTAAAGCAAGAGACACGACAATAAACATGTTGCTGTTCTGTCGCGCAGTCGTATCCGACTCTTTGTGACCCCATGGACTGCAGCACGCCAGGCTTCCCTGTCCTTCATTATCTCCAGGAGTTTGCTCAGACTCATATCCATTGAGTTGGTGATGCCATCCAACTATCTCATCCTCTCCCTCTCTTCTCCTCCTGCCCTCAATCTTTCCCAGCATCAGGGTCTTTCCAATGAGTTGGCTCTTCACATCAGGTGGCCAAAATATTGGAACTTCAGCTTCAGCATCAGTCCTTCCAATTCAGGGTGAAAACAAACATGCAGAAGTAAAAATGAATCTATACATGTGCACATGTATATGTATTATATATAATCCCATTCTCCACCTTAAATATGGCATTTCTCTTGTTCATGAGTCTGCATGGCTTTTCTGGGTAGCTCCTCTGCTTCCTCCATCTCTGTGACGTCCTGAGGGCTGGGGCTATTTGAAGACTTGCTTACTTGTGTGCACCTGGGCTGTGAAGGCCCCAGATGGGGCTGGACCAGGTGGGGCTCTCTGGGCATCTTTATCTCTGTGTGGCCTTTGCACATGGCCTCTCCAGTCTGGTGGCTTCAGGGGAGCCAAGATGTGGTTTTCAGTTTCTTAAAAAAAAAAAAAAAAAACTTGTTTATATTTTTGGTTGTATGAGCTGGATCCTTGTTGCTGCCCGGGCTTTTCTCCAATTGCCACAATTGCGGGCTCCTCTCGAGTTGCAGTGCATGGGCCTCTCATTGCAGTGGCTTCTCCTGTTGGGGAGCACAGGCTGTAGGCACATGGGTTTCAATAGTTGCACCACATGGGCTCAACAGTTTTGGTACCTGGGCTTAGGGCTTAGTGACTGAGACATGTGGGATCTTCCTGGACCAGGGATCCAACCCACATCCACTGCACTGGCAAGCAGATTTTCTTAACCTCTGAGCCACCAGGGAAACCCTGGTTTTCACATCTTAATGGCAAGTATAATGGTCAGTGCTGGCTGGGTTGTGAGGTCTATTGCCAGCAAAGGTAAGCTAATACAACCACTCTTGAGGGCCACTTCACAATAACATACCAGAGGGTGAAAATTCGGTTGTTTCAGCAATTCCACTGCTAGGAATCTGCCCCTCAGATATAAGCACAAGTTTACCAAAGTATGTGGTAACATTTATTAAAATGTCCAGGGCAGCATTTTTGAACAAACTAGCGAGACCCTGAAAACTCAGCGTCCATTAGCAGGGGCTGTGCACGTGAATTGTGGGTCACACCTCACACCCAGCTTGCTGCACCACCTTTGACCTAGGCCTAAACCACTGAAACAGCCTCCCAACCTGCCCCTCACCCCTGCTCCTGTTGGCTTCCAGTCCACCAGTGCAAATCGGATGACCCCTCGAATCTATCCCACCACAGCTAAAATCCTTCAGGCCTCTCCGATCTCCAGCAGACCCTGCACACCCCCCACATACGCTCCAGCCTTCACCCTCATCACTGGGGTATGCAAGGTCTGGGGCTTCCCCGGGAGGGGGTGGGGGGGCAGGCTAGCCAGGGTGACAAGCTTTATTGCCTGGTAAAGTAGCTCCATACATCACCAACCACCTTGCAGAGGTAGATTTTCTTTTTCAAAAGTATTTATTTAGTTGCTCCACGTCTTAGTTGCGGCATGTGAGGTCTGGTTCCCTGATCAGGGATGGAACCCAGACCCCGTGCATTGGGAGCACATGTATCTTAGCCACTGGACCCCTCGGGAAGTCCCCAGAGGCAGATTCTCTAAGTGAATGACCCCTCCTACAAAGGAATCTTCTAAATAAATCTTTGCTGTCATAATTCTCATTCATAAAGGTGTATTGTTTCTGAGAGATCCCACAAACTTGCCTAAGCTCAAAGCCCCCACAAACCTTCATCACTCACCCGTCCAGCCTGGTGCTGTGCTGTGCCCCCAGACTCTCCATCAGCCTTCCTGCTGTCCTTCCTGTCACTTCTAACCACAGGGCCTTTGCATGGACTGTTTCCTCTGCCTGGTTACTCCCTCCTCCTGCCTGAGAGGTCCTCTCTGACTATCCCAAGATCCCTTCACATCTTGCTCTTTCCTGTTTCTAACAGTTGCCATGTCACCTTGTCCAGGATTACCATTTGTCTTTCCCACCGAATCACTGCTTCACAAAAGCAGGGGCTGCGGGTACACAGTCCCTGGCACTCTGGAGCCCAGCACGTAACAGACGCTTGTTTAGTACAGGCTGATGTGGCTGCACGTCCCATGGGAAGCAAAGAGACGGGCAGGCACGCTGTGACAGTTCAAAGGGAACACAAGTTGGGTTGGATGAAGGTAATGTCCTTCTGTTTAAAAAAGACACACATTGGATCAGGACAGTGGACCAGGCCACTACAGGCACAGGTGGCAGAAACCTAACAAACGGCCCAAGTGAAAACTGAAAACACCTGTGGACGGTGCTGGCTTCTGGCAGGGCTCAACGTAGGCGTTCAGCTGACCCCATCAGGACTCCGCTCTTCCCCCTGCTTCTCCCAATTGCTTGCTTCATCCTCCAGCCTGAGACAGTTCTCCCCTGGAGGGGGCAAGGTGGCAAGAGCAGCTCCAGCCTCACTCTCCTGGGTGCAAGTTGTGCAAGAAACAGAAAACACCTCTTCCTGGGGGGTATGTGTGTGTTAAGTCACTCAATTGTGCCCCCACCCTTTGAGATTCCACAGACTGTGGCCCGCCACGCTCTCCTGTCCATGGGATTCTCCAGGCAAGAATACTGGAACAGGTTGCCACTGCCTTCTCCAGGGGATCTTCCTGACCCAAGGACTGAACCCAGGTCTCCTGCATCACAGGCACATTCTTTTAACATCTGAGTTACCAGGGATTCCTGAGGCGGCTCATGCAAACTCACCCTAAGATTAATTCCACCCTGGAGTGGGGGGCCCACAGGGTAAACATCCACCCCCCGCCCCACCAACCCAGCACAGAACAGAAAATGGAGCGTGCATGGATCATTACATGGAAATCAGAAAATAAGTTACCAAAATAACGGGAACTAGGTGCCATGAGGCTAAAACAAACACGTATCATCCCACAGATCACTATAAACTGGTAAGTGTGTTTGTTTTTTTTTATAACAACAAATTAGCAGCAGCTTCCACAAGGCAGTGGCAGTGGGGGGCAAGGGGAGACGTTTCACTCTGTACCATTAATGATGATTTCTAAACTTTTCTGAATTTGCTAAAATCATGATGGAAGCTTTTCTTTTTTTTTTAACAAATAATTTTAGTTCTTAGAAATGACAGCTGGGTATAAATTCTGTAACTCTCACTCAGAGAAGGCTGTGACACAGGAACAGCAACGTCAGACAGTAACAGGTAGCACATCATATTAGTACCATACAAAATCACCACAAGTTTAGGCACTTTATCAAAGGAACAGGTTTAGAAGCTTGGCCAACGCCCGAGTCACACCCTGGAAAATCATCATGTTAGATGGAGCACATGACTCGTGACACCAGCACTACTTTCCTAAGTAAGGTCCTGTTTGGACAGGACCCCTGGATTCACAGACCACACAAAATCTGACTGATATCAAGAGTTCTCAGTAACTGATGAGAGGGGTTTAAATCCAATAAATTTCAAGTGATTACTTGGGATTTTCAAGCTGCGTGATTTTCTGTTCTGTGTCTTCTGCAGAGACTTGGGATTCACGTGTCCTGGCGTCCTGACTGTGTACATAGATGTCGGAGCACTGAGTTGTGCTCCTGTGGCCTGTTTTTAATTTCACAGTAATGGACGTGGTGTCTGCAAGAGACTGATTCAACGCATCTGAGGGTCTTAAGTTCGTCTGATGAGAACCTGGTATCCTTTTGTTTAAGAGAAACAATACAGAAGGCTGCAGGTCAAAGCAGGTAGGGCCAGGGCTGTGGTGCCATGGTCCAGTCAAAGATGCCTCCACGTTTCAGTGGGAAAAAGCCACACCTGCAGGTTTCCACTGAAAGTGATTTTATGGTAAATGTCAATCTGTCAGTGTTCCATGTTAATTACAAAACCTCTGTCCTCTTACTTGAAGCCTTTTAAACAGTAATTCTTTTGCTGACCAGAAACTGGCCACATGGCAGACCTTTCTCAGCAGAGACGAGAAGCCTGTGAGTGTGTGGTCGCCCATGCCCCTCCTCCTCTGCACAGCGAGGCTGCCCCGTCACAGCTCTTCCCTCTTACTCCCAGCCCGATTGTCTTCCTTCGAAGCCCGGGGTTTCGGGTCTCTCTCCTTCTTTTTCTTGCCCTTCTCTTGCTTGGTTTGAATCTTCTCTTTGCTTCCTCCCCCTTTGCCAGGGTACACCTGGCCCTCCAGGGTCACGTCAGCACACCTGTCCTGACTGACCAGGAAGTCCTTGATCTCCCATGCGTAGCCCCCATCACGCAGCATGAAGATGGCACGGTCTGACCCCACGATGAACCTGGACAGACAGAGGGACCACGGTCAGCACACAGTTGGTGCAGGCTAACGGTTCAGAACAGGCCTGCAGCACTTAACTAAGAAAAGAGAATCCCCTTCAAATTCTACATGAACACAGAACAAAGTGTCCTATTTCCCCAGGCCTAGAAGCTGTTGACATTCACTGCTGGAAAGTACTAGCTGGCTCAACTATTTAACAAGTTGGCTCAGATCAAAAGAGAAAGAGGACCTGGGCTGTGTGTGCGGTGCAGGGGCTGCGCACGTGAAGGGAGGGGTCAGAAGGGGGCCTTGGCAGGCTGCAGACAGGCCAGGCTCAGGACCTCTCCCACGGAATCGAGGGAGGCGGATGTTTGGGTCTGTTTTAGTCTTAAGAGCCCAGTTAAGGCTTCATGTGACAAAAAGCCTCTGCTGACACAGACTGACAAACAGGAGTCTGGATTGGGTCACAAGAGGCCCACAGAGGGCTCAGGAGGAGGCTCGGTGACTGGACAGAACTCAACCCCGGAGGTTAACCACTGGCAGCCAAGCACATCCACACTCCGCAGGTCCCAAGGAGCAGACAGGAACAGAACCGAGTCCGGGCGTGTGTAAAGCACCATCCCCCCCACTCTTATCAGTGAGAGCTCGGGGCCATCACCACCACAGCACTCGCTCGTTCCCCGGTGTCTACTTATGCTCACAAAAGCACTCTGCCACCCTAGACACTCTGAGTATTCCTTTTGATTCTTTTTGTACTTCCTGAGCTAAAATATTAGAAGACGCTACATTTCAGAAACCGTTATTGATGAAGAAAAAGGAAATTCCTCAAAACTGCATCTCAGGGTCATACTGACCCATGACGACCAGACTCCTTCACTTTAAAGTAACAGTCTGGTCCAAGCTTCTGCGTGAACACAGCTACAGTCCCGTGGGCAGCGACTTCTAAGGGGAGAGGCACACTCAGACGTCAACTAATTTTCCACCCCCCCCCCCAGAGGCAAAGCTATATAGCTTCTTACTCAGACAAAAGGGAAGTTCAAGATACATAGATAAATGGCTTTTGGATCAAATGAGATATGAAAACAAACAAATTTACTGGCTTTGACCAAACCTGAGTGGTCTTCTTCAAAGAAAAATAAATAAACTAGGTAAATAAATGTAAAAGCGACAGACTAGACAGGAAAGGTCCAGGGCCCTGCCAAGTACTGCCAGGAATGACACCCATCACACCAACAGAGGTAAAGCCCAGCACAGCCCACTTTTCTCGGCAAGGCTGTGGTTCTACCTCTGGACGTCATAGTTGGCGTTGAAAAGGCTGCCCTGCCACAGGCTGGTGATCTCCTCCGTCTCCTTCTCGGTGGGCTTTCCTGACACGGTGACAAACATCATGAGCGTCTTGCCCTTCTTCGTCATCTTCAGTATGCTCTCGGGCTTGCCCGGGTCTATCTGGGAGAAGTCTATCGGTGCAGAGGGTCTTTTGTGCTCTGGGAGGTCTCCTTCTTCTATGTCGTCATCTTTCTGTAAGGACGGGGGGCGGGGAGGGAAGCATCACACAGTGTGCACTGCAATTGGCAAAGGCAAGAATGTCCGCATGTAATGTCAGGGCTGGTTTATGACCTAAATCAGAGCAGAAAGGCTTCTCTCGTGGCCCAGTGGTTAAGAATCCGCCTGCCAATGGAGGGGACATGGGCTTGATCCCTAGTCCAGGAAGATCCCACATGCCACTGAGCAACTGAATCACGACCTGTGAACTCTAGGCTTGAGAAGGGAATACCTACTGATGCACTGAGGATAATCAGAGCTGGGTCCTCCCCTTTAGGCGGGGAGTTATAAATACAAAAGTAGAAGACTGCACCCGTGGTATTGGGCTGGAATTGGAGGCAGCAGAAGGAACCTATGATCTTTTTGATAGACAAGATAAAAATATTTAAAAGAACTAGTGTTCCATAGGGGAAAGCTAATTCTGGCAAAGGAAACAGATTAGTCTGGAACATCTTTTTGTATCAGAAAGTAAGAAAGTGTTCATGGGATTATGGGATGTGTCAGGATGACACAGAAGCCAGCATGAAGCAGAGCTTGTGGGCCTAATCGGGAATAATCTGAAAATCAAAATAATGACAGAATGGTTTAGAACTCCCCAAACAAAGTAAGAACCACTGGATCCAGGCCCACAGAAATAAACAAGACAATTAATTATTAACAACAGAATGCCAACTAAATAAATATAAGATAAATGAGCTAAAAATACACAAAAGAACCAGTTATTCCTTGGAGAAAAGGCTAATTTCAGCAAGGAAAAAACATGCTTGATGTTATCATATGCATGATCCTTGACAACATCACGGTAAGTGAAGGAGAAGACCAAACATACACTGCAGGAGTCTATCTATACCAAACATCCAAAGTAGACAAAGCTATAGACAGGAAGCAGATGAGAAGTTGCCTGGGGCTGGCTGGAGGGCTGGGAAGAATGCGGGGTGGGGTGACTGAGACCACAGTTTCTTTCTGGGGGTGAAGCAAATGTTCTCAAATTGACTATGGTGCTGGCTGCACAATTCTCTGAACAGTCCAGAAACCACTGAAATGTACACTTTAAATGAGGGAACTTATAAGGCCTGTAAACTATATTACAATAAAGCTGTTACTTAAAACAACAAAAAAACAACCTAAAATGAAACAAAAAGCCCTATATATCACTACATGGGCCTCTTGACAAATCACTGAAGGGCCGAGGCTTAAGACACCAACAATAATGTCCTGTATTAAACATATTTTTAATAAGAGAACAAGATAATTCTAAAGCCATGTCTGAAGGGGATCCATATTTGATCTGGCTTCAGCTCCCTAACTCACCTGAATGGCCTTGGACCAGACTCCATAATCCTCTAGGCCTGTCTCCTTGTCTATAAAAGGAAAAGCAGAATTGGGTGATCCCCACAGCCCTAGCAGTGTGGGGCCAACCTTTTCCTCAACTCTGCCACCCTCTCAACTGACCCATTTCCTCCTCACTTGGCTCTGAAAGAGCTGCTGGCGACCTGCAGGCAAGCACATGAGCTGCACTGTCCTGTGGGCCTGCGTGTGGCTCCAGGCACCAGTCCTTTCGCTGTGTGGCCTTAGTGGAAAATCATTTTCCCTCACCTCTAATAGGGAGGGGGGTGATCACAGCATCTCCCCTCTAAGCTTGCCTGGGAATTTAATGACATAAAGGCAAGCAATACATACTTAATACATGGTGCTGTTACCACTTGTTCGGTCTCTATATCATGTCAGACTCTCTGTGACCTCATGGACTGCAGCATGTCAGGCTTCCCTGTCCTTCACCATCTCCTGGAGTTTGCTGAGACTCATGGCCCGCTGTAACCCAGCTTCCAAACAACTATTGAAATCACCCTCTTAAAGTACATAGGAACTCCTGGTGGCCAAACTCACAGGCTGTTTCTGACTGTATTCTATTCTATTTCTCCATAATACCTGTTTATGGTCTCCTTAGAATACTTCAAGACTTCTAGCTGGGTCAACAACCTAGAATAGTTTCATTTTTCAAGCTGATTCTACTAATAGTCATGGCATTAACTCCATAGGTTACAAGGACCATTTCTTTTTCATGAAAATATAATTAATCAGAAGTCTAGCACATACAGCAAGATTAAGGATCTTTTCAAGAACCTTTAATATCTATTTTATACGTCTGACTGTGAGTTTCAGTTACAAAAAGAAAAGAAAAAACAGAGTACCACAGCCGTAAGAGAAAAGGTAGCAGCAGAGGACGAGATGGTTGAGACCGCATCACGGACTGAATGGACATGAGTGTGAACCAACTCCAGGAGATAGTACGGACTTCCCTGGGGTCTCAGATGGTAACGAATCTGCCTGAAATGCAGGAGACCCAGGTTCAATCCCTGGGCCGGGAAGATCCCCTGGAGAAGGGAATGGCTACCCATTCTAGTATTCGTGCCTGGAGAATTCCATGGACAAAGGAGCCTGGTGGGCTCCAGACAGGATTAGACGGGCTCGATTCAATGGACATGAATCTGAGCAAACTCCGGGAGGTAGTGAAGGAAAGTAGAGTCTGGCGGACTATAGTCCACAGAGTCACAAAAAGTCGGGCCCGACAGAAAAACCAACACCTCAGATGTAGGTGCAATTGTCCAGGTCTACTCTTAGATGCCCTGCTTCCCTGAGTAATCTTACCTGTTCTATCACTTCCTTTAAACTGAAAGCAATTACACCTTCACCCCCAGGCAGGGCTGGGGGCGGAGAATGTGACCAAGTGACCATTCCCACACTCTATGCAGCCCTTCCTCCAGGCCAGTCTTTCACTCTTGACTGGCTTCACCACTTCTCCAATGCTGTCTGTCAATATTCATAGCTACAGAGCTGAACTCCCTTATCCTGTAAATGCTTTTCGTCCTCACAAGTCCTTGATAATAAGACCAGCTACCATCTCCTGAGCAGCTACTAGGTCACAGGCATTGTTCATTTAGTATATCCCACCTCAGGACAGGACTTCCCTGGTGGCTCAGAGAGTAAAGAATCTGCCTGCAATGCGAGAGACCTGGGTTCAATCCTTGGGTTGGGAAGATTCGCTGGAGAAGGGAATGGCTACCCACTCCAGTATTTCTGGCCTGGAGAATTCCATGGACTGTATAGCCCATGGGGTCGCAAAGAGTTGGACACAACAGCGACTTTCACTTACCTCAGGACAACCCTGTAGGATGCACACTGAACTGAGCTGTGGAGGAGGCCCAGAGAAGGTGAATAATTGACTCCAGGTCACCGGCTTGACAGGGTGACACTTAAGTACAAACTCGCTTGTCTGGCTCTGCTCCTATCTCCCCACCTATCCCTTCCCCGGCACCTGGTGGCACCTGGTTACAGTAACGTAAGAATCACCTTTGGTTTTTCTACACCAACAGGGACTCATTAACACAGTGGAAGGAGTGCCACCGTTCCTGCCACCACCCCCACCCCCTACACACACCTGAGGCAGGCCTCTCCCTGCAGCGATGACTTTCACACTGGCAGAGGATGGGGGAAGACCTTAGGGACCTCCACCAGGGGAGGAGGTACCGCTTCCTTCAAAAAAGCGCCCTTAGATTTTCCAGTGGCACGGTGGGTAAGAATCTGCCTGCCAAACCAGGGGACACGAGTTCGATCCCTGGTCCGGGAAGAGCAAGTAAGCCCATGCACCTAGTGCCCTCGTGCTCCGCAGCAAGAGCAGCCACCTCAATGAGAAGCCCACATACTGTACCTAGAGAGTAGCCCCTGCTCACAACTAGAGAAAAGCCTGTGCGCAGTGACGAAGACCCAGCACAGCCAAAAATAAAATAATTGTTTTTAAAAATGAGAGATTAAAAATGAAAAAGCACCCAGAGATGGATCTGCTCTCCCACAGAAAGACTGCAATTGCTGGGGCAGGGCTTTCACACTTGCAGTGTCTGCAAAGGGGAGCTCAATTCACCTAAAAAGGAACCCTGCAAAGTGGGATGATATCCGACTTTAAAGATAAGGAAAATGAGGATCACAAAGCTACCAAGGTCAATACATCAGATGGTACTAAAACTCACGTCTGAAAGCCTCTATTTAATACACACACCAAGTGCATGCGTGCTCAGTCACCAAGTTGTGTCCAACTCTTTTACAATCCCATGGACTGTAGCTTGCCAGGATCCTCTGTCCAGAGGGTTTCCCAGGCAAGTATACTGGAGTGGGTTGCCAATTCCTCTTCCAGGTGATCTTACCGGATCAGGGATAGAACCTCCATCTCCTGCACTGGCGGGCGGATTCTTTACCACTGAGCCACCTGGGAAGCCCACATACACACATGGGAAACCACAATATAATAAAACATCAGCACTGGAAGAAATCATCCAGTAAAATCTCATTCTGCACATAAGGAACCTGAAGTCTAGGGTGGAAACATGACTCACTCAAGATCACACACAGTGGAACCCAAGTTTCTGACATTACTTCACCAGCAGTGCAAATAAACCAGGAAAACACAACCACCTATGGATGGGCAAGAGGCAGCAACAATGGTTTTGGTTAGTGAACTTCACCTAAAAAGGTTAATACCCTCTCCCTGCCATTACACATTCCAACCCATTCAAGTAACCAGAAAACTGACTCGCACAAAAGCAAGTCATTGCTCCCTTGAACGAAAAATGTGAGATGCAAGACAAAAAACCACTAGCCTTTAATAACGCCTCCTATCCCGTCCAAAAAATTAAAGGCACGCACAAAACTTACAAAAACTTTCAGCAGGGACATATACCAAAATGGGAACTGTGAATCCTTATTTACAATGCGGGAGAACGACGAAGGGCGCTCTTGGAAGATAATCCTCTCCATACCCCTCACCCACCCACGCACTCCGTTCTCAGGAATGGGATGGAAAAGGTCTCCCCCCGCTCTTCACTAGAAGGGCTCGCTGACCACCGGGAGCAACGCCGAGGCGTTGATGACAAAATAGGGCTGAAAAGTGAGAGGCTGACTCGTGACTGCAGTAGCCCGAGGAACGGTGGAAAGAGGACATCGGGATGAACGCTTTGGGGCGGGGGTCGGCAGACTGATGGAGTGGTCAGAGGCACTGAGGGTCAGCGGTAGCTGGTGTGGGTCAGTAAGGGCCATTGGCATGCGGACAGAGGAGGTTAGGGGGTCGAAAGACACCAAGATGGAGGTGTAAAGGGTCCCAAGACGGAGGAGGTAAGAGGTCAGTAGAAAGGGACCCCGGACAGAAGAGCCGGAAGGGTGTGCGCGCGCCGCAGACCTCCCACTGTTCCAGAAGACGAGCCATGTCGGCGTCGTTGTAGTCGCGAATATCCTTCTTCTTCTTCCGAGGAGGTGGGGTGGCCTCGCCGGGTGTCTCGGCCGGGCCCTCGGCGGCGAGGGCCCTCGGCGGCAACAGCAGGAGCAGCATCAGATCACAGGCACAGAGAAAAACCACGGCGGTGCGCGCCCAGCCGGAGGCCGCCATCTTTGCCGCGCAGAGTCGCGCCACCGCGTGGACCAGACTTGCGCGAGCCCTGGCCCCACCCCAGGCCGCCTCTTTCCTGGGCCCGCCCCTTGCCGGCGCCTGAGCGGGACACGCCTTCAGCCTAGCCTCCAAGGGCTCAAGGCCACCCCCCCTTGGCCCCGCCTCCCAGGCCTCGGTAACCTACCAGGCTCCGCCCCGTCCTAGTTCCTCCGGCCCCCACCTCCGGAAGCCCCGCCTCCTCCGCCATCTTGGCTCCGCCCCTCAGCCTCCTCCCGTTGGTCCAGCATAGGCGCTTTGCCCAGTGTGGTTCTGTACTTCTTTTTCCGCCAGCGGTCGACCTTTTTCTCTCTTAACGAGTAAGTCAGGTCGAGAAGTTCCCTCAGAGCCTCTAGGAATCCTCCAACAGCGCCTCACGAGGCCTCAACTTTTCGCCTGTGAAATGAAGTGGCGCTGGAAGTTCTGGGAGCTCATTTGCTCCAAGAAAGCCCGTTTCACGAAGTCACACGCTTCCTGAGTCTCCTACAATTTCCTTTAAAAATGCCAGTGGCAGGTTAAGCAGCTTTCTCAGAAGATCACAAATAGATTGGGCCCAGTCGTTTGCTGCTCAGTAGAAAATTCAATCCGTCTTTGAATATTGCTATCATCTCTTTTTTTGTTGTTGTTCTTTTTTTTTTACTATCATCTCTTGAAACTGAAAAAGTTTTTTTTTTAAATCATTACTTTTCATCTGTAAAACAACTTCAGTATCCCTTCTGATTTTAACCTCATGTTGTCGGCTCTGTCTATTCCTTTTGAAGGTTGAATCATTGTTTTTTGTTGTTGTTTCTTGCTTTAAAAGAATCAGGCCAGAAATACTTTAAAGTTCCACGGATTTTAAATGGTTGATCTGCTGACTTTTAAATTTTTAATTGGATGAGAAAGACTCGAATCCCTTACTGTAGCTGTAAAATATTCGACCATTGTACAAACATTGTGTTCTCTTCCACACCAGCCACAATTCTGTCCCACACAAACCAGTTATCACTCTCTAGAATATTGTATACATTCTTCTGTACATTTACAAACACCGAAGTGTCTCTAGAAACGGTTTTGTTGCATTTATATGTGTGTGTATGGCAGCATGGGTTTCCCTGGTGGTTCAGAGAGGGTAAAGAATCTCCCTGCAGTGAAGGAGACTTGGGTTCGATCCCTGGGTCAGGAAGATTCCCTTGGGGAAGGGAATGCAACCCACTCCAGTATTCTTGCTTGGAAAATCCATGAACATCAGAGCCAGGTAGGCTACAGCCCATGGGGTCGCAGAGTCGAACATGACTGAATAACTAACATGTGACTACATTGCAAGTTGGTATGCGTTATTAGCATTTTAAGGGTTTTTGACTTACCAATATGACATGAAGTTTGACTATACTGCAGTATAGTATGCATTGATTTTTTAAAATAATTTTTTATGTGGATCATTTTTAAAGTCTTTATTGAGTCTGTTGCAACATTGCTTGTTTTATGCTTTGGTTTTTCAGCTGCAAGGCATGTGGGATCTTAGGGTTCAAACCCTCATCCTTTGCATTTGAAGGCAAAGTCTTAACCACTGGACTGCTAGGGAAGTATAGTACAGTATTAATAAAATATAGTATTAATATACCTGTACTTTATTTCCTTATTACTCTGTTGATGGGTGCATGTTAAGTCACTTCAGTCATGTCAGTTGTGTTAGTCTCTCAGTTGTGTCCGACTCTCTGCAACCCCATGAACTGCCAGGTTCCTCTGTCCATGGAATTCTCCACGCAAGAATACTGGAGGGGCTTGCCATTTCCTTCAGGGGATCTTCCCAACCCAAGGATCGAACCCACTTCTGTCTTCTGCATTGTCAGGCAGGTCTTTACCACTAGCACCACCCCAATTTTTATGCTATTACCAAAAGAAAAAAGAGCTATAATAAACCTCTTTACTTCTGCCTGGTGTTATGGGCTGCACGGTATCCTCCCAAATTCTGTATGTGGAAGCCCTAACTCTGGTACCTCAGAATGTGACTGTGTTTGGATCTCTAAAGAGGGAATTAAGTTAAAATGAGTTGTTGGGGGTGGTCCCTAATCCAATATGACTGGTATCCATACAAAAGAAGAGATTTGGACACTGATATATAGAGGGATCATGTAAAGACACAGGGAGAACATGGCCATTTACAAGCCAAGGAGGGAGGCATCAGAAGAAACCAACCCAACCTTGATCTGGGACTTGCAGCCTCCAAAACAGTGAGAAAATAAATTTATGTTGTTTATTCCAGTGGTCCCCAACCTTTTCGGCAATAGGGACAAATATTGCAGAAAACAGTTTTTCCATGGACCAGGGGCAGGGGCAGTGGTTTTGGGATGACTCAAGTGCATTGTATTTATTATGCACATTATTCCTATTAACATTGCATCAGCTCCATCTCAGATCATCAGGCATTAGATCCCAGAAGTTTGGGACCCCTGGTTTAAGCCACCTGGTCTGTACTTTGTTGTTGTTCAGTTGCTAAGTCATTTCTGACTCCGTGACCCCAGGGACTGTGGCATGCCAGGCTTCCCTGTCCTTCACTGTCTCCCGGAGTTCACTCAAACTCATGTTTATTGTGTCAGTGATGCTGTCCAACCATCTCATCCTCTGTCGCCCCCTTCTCCTACTGCTCTCAATCTTTCTCAGCATCAGGGATTTTCCAGTGAGTCAGCTCTTTGTATCAGGTGGCCAAAGTATTGAAACTTCAGCATCAGTCTTTCCAATGAATACTCAGGGTTGATTTACTTTAGGATTTTTTTTTTTAATTATAATGACATTTTATTTTAGTCACAACATCTGACACTTCAAAAAAAGATACCACTAATTAAAAAAAAAGATACCACTAATAAATAACAAAAGTGGAAATACTTATCAAAGTTAAAACAGACATAATGTTTAGCTGAGAATCACTTCAACAGAGTAAGGCTCTAAAGATACCAGACAAATGATTTCCTTTAGGATTGACTGGTTTGATCTCCTTTCTGTCCAAGGGAATGTCAAGAGTCTTATGCCCTAGCAAACTAACATATCTTGCTCGGATAGATTATAGGCCACATATAAAACAAAATTGAATTTGTAAAAAAAAAAATGGTTTAAATAAGACGGAGGCCTTTGTGGTTATTGTTTGATTCCTCTCTCACAGAAGCAGCTGGAAACTGAGCATCTAAGGGCTTGTATTTTTGCTCTTTGAGCATCTGGCACCCTGTCTCTTTTTTCATCCTGCTCCCTCATACTGGTCTGTGGCTTCCAACTTCAAGGTCACAAGTTCAAGGTCAAGATGACTTTTATCCTGAGGAAGGAGGGAGGAAAAAAAGCCAAGAGGAGCACACTTTTTAATGGAGTCATCTTCCTTTAAGCAGCCCATTTGGATGTTCCACAGAGCACTTCTATTTACATCACATGGGCTGGAACCTAGCCTTCTAAGGGAGGCTATCTACATTGTCATCCCAAATAAAACTGGGATTTTGTCATTAAGGGAAAAGAGGAAGTGAAAGTTGAGCAGGTAACCAGTTAACAATGTCTGCCTCACTTTCACACTTAGGACTGTTGGTGTTTAAAGCTCTTCCACTGTGGGATGGCTGATACCCTGTATCTATATGTGTTGTTGTTTAGCTGCTCAGTTGTGTTGGACTCTTTGGGACCCCAAGGGCTGCAGCATGCCAGGCTTCCTTGCTATCCTTCACCATCTCCCGGAGTTTCCCAAACTCATGTCTTTTAAGTCAGTGGTGCCATCCAGCCATCTCATCCTCTGTCACTCCCTTCTATGTACACACTATGCCGTTTCCTATTGTCATTGAGCAGAAACAACTCATAAGAAAAAAGGTTTTTTTCTTTTCTGAAATCATAGGGGAAATGTCATAAGCTTTCTCCCCAGAGTGCACTGCTCCACCCAGTGGCTCAGCGCCTGTCCTGGTGCAGTCATGCTAAAAAACATGCACAGCTGTGGTCGGTCATGTGCTCTGCTGGGAGGGGTCACCCTGGTCACTCATTTTGCCAGCTGCTAAGTTAAGGTGTAAAAGTGCTGGGATTCCTGGTCCATTGTACCTAATGATACAGAAAAAAAAATCATTTAATGTTTTACAGAAGTTGTTGGAATTGTGTTAAAAAATAAAAAATCCCAGGACTAGTTTCATCTAAGGAGGAAATGAATTCAGTTTATTATCCAGAGGTATGAAACATCTGGATTGATTGCATTTTCACCCATCTGATGTTTGGAACTTGATTCAGTTCAACCCTGTGAGAATGTATTTTAACTAAGGGTGTGTGTGGGGGTGGGTGTGTGTGTGTTGCTCAACTGTGTCCAACTCTTTGCCACCCCATGGACTGGGGCCCACCAGGTTCCTCTATCCATGGGATTTTCCAGGCAAGAATACTGGAGTGGGTAGCCATTCCTTTCTCCAGAACTAAGGGTCTGCTGTCTTTTTTTTTTTTTTGCCCCACCACAGGGTATGTGGAACTTCCGGGACCAGGGATTGAACCAGTGTCCTCTGCAGTGGAAGTGCAGAGTCTTAACCACTGGACCAGCAGGGATGTCCAGGGTCTACTGTCAGTCAAGAACCAGATGGGCACTGATGGAAAGATGAATATGACAAGGTTCCTGCACTAAAGAGTCTGCAAACTAGCAGAGGAGATGAACAATCCACAGTAAATATAATGCAGATTTCAGGAGGTCCTTGTTATCACATGATGATAATAATAGGGGAGAACCCTGATTTTGGAATTGCATTTGTCTGAGGTCCCACAGCTAGTGAAGTGACAGGGAAGAATCTGAACCCTGGTCTATGGATGAAGAGGTATATCTTTCTCCCAGCATAGCACCATTTGGGTTAATCATTGAGGCACTCAGGATAGTTAAACTAGAGGCCAGATGAAAGACCCATCGAAAAGGAGTCTGGAGGCAGGAATACCGAGATGGGATAAGAATGTGAACATGGGGACACCCCCGGCAGTCCAGTCGTTGAGACTTCACCTTCAATGCAGGGGATGAGGGTTCAATCCCTAGTCAGGGAACTAAGAACCTACACACCCAAAACATAACACAGAAGCAA